GTTCTTCGTTTAGGCAAGTATGGCGTTCGTGCTGACTGCTTAATCTATGCGTCAGTAACTGCAAAACTTCAGTAGGTCTATTGTTAGTTTGATGCTAGAAAGCACTACACCCTGAAGTAATTGTTATCAATTTTTGACTGTGAATGAACAGTTATTACTACATTGCTTCACAAACGAATGTTGCAACTTATAAAACCTAAATGCATCCTTGAGAAGCGGTGCACTATGTACACAATCAAGTATTTTTCAAATATATTTAGTGGATGCTCTGGAAGCAAACCTGTTTTCAATCCAAAGTGTATTACAAGTGAATCTAATTTTTTGGGAGCAACAAAGACAGTCGGGTCTAGAACAAAATGAAATCAAAACATTAGTATGTGAAGTCACAAAAGATGTAGTGAAGGCAGGTCTAAGTCGCTGGCAAGGTAACCAACCTTCTAGAGAGCGCAGGCACTGCAAAATTCAAGAGCAACTACCTATTTTTTTAAATTTAACCAAATAAGTGTAATTACCACTTTACCGGTGAGTGTTATTTATATTTATATAATACAGTGGGTGGATGCACTACAGTGGCCGGAAGGCACGAATAACAGCAACTGAGCGCAACTTTCCCCTATATCTGAGTAAGGACTTCACTACTGGGTATCTCTATGATGATTATTAATAATTTTATAAAATTTCAAGTAAGATGATAGAAACATATAGTCGGAGAAATTATGTAACTATTTCTTTAGGTTATGGGGGACCTAATAGATGTTTTTGGAGATGTAATTCTTATAGAAGCAATCCTGGTTTCATAAGTTTAAAGTGGCTAGATTTAAGTAAGGGTAGGACAATTGCTCGTTGGGAGGGTACGTTCCTGGATACTTAAGCCTTTGCAGTATTTTGGAGAAGTCAATTGCGATTAATTCCCTTTTATTCTCTGTACTAAATAAATGGTTCTTTAAAATGAAACAATACATCAGCTATATTTAAAATATAAATAAATAGTCAAGTTAAGAAAAGTTAGCTTTCAAATTTAATCAAAAATTCCTAATTTAAAGATTTTTTCTTAATTATGTAAACTAAACACTGTAAGAATTTCATTAACATTCAGTTTTGAAGTTAAGAAATTTAACAAGATTCTTGCCTGTTGAAAGATCTTTCCGCTCATATGTTACTCGTAGAATTGTTAATTTATTGACTTCCTAATTTATTTCACATGAATGCTATACATACAGTTTAAGTGAATAATTTCATAAAAGAAACTCCTACCGCAAATAAGGAAGAAATTCTCCATTGAAACATTTCTGCTTCTTAGCACAAAGTGTTCATAGATGATAGAATTTAAAAAGAAAATAAACACGAAATAAAGTAATATTAATCACGTGTATTACAACTGAAATCACAGTTGTTTAATAGAAATAACCAGGCGAAAATATTTTCGTAAGAATCCACAATTATTCCCGATTCTTCCAGCACTTCGAGCACACAGTGTTCGTTTCTGCTTGTCCGTGGACACCCCTTTCTCGGATTGGAGGAGATATGACAGGGGAGTCAGGAATAGTTGGCTGTCTTTGTAGGAGCGCCGGGTAGCCCAAGCAGGCAAGAACCTCATGCGGACGCAGTTCGACATGTCTCACGCACAATCGTATTTGCTTCAACCGAAACAGCCTGGGAAATCGCAGCTAGTAAAAGAGCTGCCAAACGGCGAAATCTTCTCATCTCCTCCGTTCCTGCGCCTTTCGAAGGCCTCGCGAAACGCCTGCCGCTCGCCAGGCGGAGTGCTCTTTCTCGGAGCGCCTCGGAATGTCACCTCGGGCTTAACCTTTGCCTGCTCAAATGTTCGCCACCGGCGACAACGCGGTCGAAACGTCGCGACGCCGCAACGCCACACTGAGCGGACGCTCAACGCTCCACGCCCTATCGCTCACCGTCAGTGGACAACGCTCAATGCTTGTCGCTCAGTGCCTATAGTTCAATGGTTATCGGCCATTGCTTATCGGCCATTGCTTATCGGCCATTGCTTATCGGCCATTGCTTATCGGCCATT